TCACAGTGGAAGCCAGGACAAGCCTTCCCCCAGCTCTAAATCTCTCTCTCCCCACCCTAATCCCCTGCTGGGCATCAGCCTTTATGGCTCAGCTGAATGCCCAGAGAGGGGAGGTGACCCCTCTCTGACACAGGGGACATGCTGGGACTCGAGGAAAGAGCATCCTAGGGAGGGGAGAGGGGTCTCACAGCCTATGTGGAGGGTGCAGAGCTGCCTGTGCACATCCCTCCAGTCAGGGCCAGGCTCCACATGCATCCTCCCCTTCGGCTCCCCCTGTTCTGTTGTTCAGGTAACACTTTCAAGGCAGGTCCTCCAAGCAAATTTTTAGGTCAGCTATAATTGGGAAACCTCGTGTGGAGCTATAAAACATCAGTTAATACGCTGGAACTATCTAGTTAAATGCCAATTATAAAACCCCATAAGCTCCTCAACTCAAATATATTAATAACATAATTAAACATTTATTGCTTATGCAAATTAAAAGTTAAGTTAAATCGGACGGCAACGAAAACCCCAGGAAGTGACCATTTAAATAACTAATTTCTATTTAATTGTGATTCCTCCCCGTTACAAAGCCCCCCATGCCACCATTCCCAGAGTGTTTACTCGAGCCATTCCAACTTGGCATTCCCGCTCTGGCGCCCATTCATCACTCCAGACAGCTGCAGCATTCATCCCAACAGCTGGCAGCAGCTGCACTGCCCGCCCCTCTTTTGCACACTGGGGGAATTATTGGGCCTTGGGATGAGTGTTCCATGTGATCCCTCTGATCCCCAAAGATCCCTGCTCACCTCCTGAGCTCCCTGGCAAACCCCAGGACAGTTTTCTCGCAGAAAGAGCATTCAGTGCCTCTTTGCATTAAACCACTTTCTTCCCCAAACTCCAAACCATTCAGACAAAAAAAAAAAAAAAAACAACCCTGCCTGTTTCCTGCCAGGATCTCGGTTTGGGCCAGCAGTTGTGAAATCTGCAGAGGAGGGAGCATCCCTAACTCACCTTGAGCTGGGCTTAGTCAGATGAGGCCACACTCACCTCATCTGCTGAGGTTAAGTGAGCAGCTCTCCGATGGCAGGTATCCATAAATCCCTGCCTTTCAATAATTCAGCCCCTGGAGGGTGATACAACATTTTTAACCTACATTTCAGGTGAAAATCTAAGCAAGACCATGCCTGACTCCCAGATTCCTGCTCGCCAGTATGTAAAATTTTAGCAGTGCAACACACATCCATTTTTAATTTTTCTTTTTTGCAGGCTGATCCTTGCTCTGCAAACGCTATCTAAGAGCCAGCCTGCATCCCAACACGTCTGGGGAGGCTGTGAAATGCCTTGTTGGGAGGAGGAGGAGGAGGAGGAGTGAACCAGCCCCCACCACCAAGGGCATCTGAGGCTCAACAGCACTTCTCAGTGCCACAGGTCCCCCAGCTGGAATACATTTGCATAAAGCAATTTCCTCTAACAAATATGTTCATACAAATCAAACCCAAGATTGCAAATAATTTGAAACCACGAAAAAAGAGAGAGGGGAAAAAAAAAACCCACCACAACCTAATCAAACATATTTTGCTGCAAGTAATTCCCCAGCACTGTAAGTTTTTCTCAGACCAATTTATCCAGCAGTAGCTCGAGGAGATTTAATGGGGTGTGTGACCTTGTGTGCTCTGACTTGAGCAGGGCTTGCCTCTCACCTCACAAGGAATTTGTGATGGAAGGTCATATATTTCTGAACTGACCTGTTTCCAGTGCCCCTGAGCCCCCACCCCTTCACAGGCAGGCTGGTTTAACGTTTCCCAATTACACTGACTTTTCCTCTGCCTGCTGGAGCCCTTTGGCTCTTGCACTTCCAGTTCTGAGTCTGCCACACACGAGGATCCCTGGGAGATCCATCTGGTGTGGGTGTCATGCAAGGCATTAATCCCAGGTGCCTGTGCCCGGGGATATTGGGCAAGTCACCTGGAAATTCCCTGATTCCACTGGGCTTTCTCTCACCCTCACTCACCACAAATCCTTCTCAGGCCACATTCATCTGAACGGGCAGGAATAATAACTCCATTGTAGTCAGAAAAGCTGGATGTGCTTGCAACCAGATGGGGACCTGGCTCTGTATCTCCACCACGGACATTCCAGCCCTGAGCTCTGCCTGCATCTCCCAGCTCCAGGGATGGAAATCCCATCGTGCTCACTCTGGTCTGCACTCTCTGCTGCCGGACCACGCTCAGCGCTGGGCACACAGCAAACACAACCCCCTGTTTCACCTCCTCCTGCCCTGCTCCAGCTCCTCCCCTGACTCTCAGCTGATCCCCAGGGCTCTGAAGTCACTTTTTGGGGCCAGCAGCGCTCGCCTGCAGAGATGTGGCTTGGAGAAGGGATCCAAGCCACGCTGCCATTTCTCCACGGGCCGCATGCACTGCTGGCATCTCCCCCACCCCAACGTGTTTCTGGTTTGTTCCAGAGAAACACAATACTTGGGGGCACTGCATGGGAGTCTGTTCCTGCTGTGTTCAGCCCTCTGCAACCTGAGCTGCTGAGAAGAGGCCCCTTGCAATGGGTTTTATCCATCATCGCTCAACTCTAAGACACGGCCTGGGAAATCGGCGCAGCATTTCCCAGGGGCTCGTCCCAGCAGGACCATGGGCAAAGACAGCCCCTCTTATCCTCCTTCCCATCTTAGACCCGGCTCCCCCAGTGCTCCTTTTGTTTCTCCCCCACCCCCAAACTTGGCTGGAGTGGCTGAGCCAGCTGCTGGGATCTGGTTCTGTGGGATAGTGCCCCTCAGCGTCGCTGCTGTGGTCACTCCCGGGGCCGCTGCCCTGAAAGGCTGAGCCGAAGCAAAGCTGCACTTCCAACGTTTTGCCTGGCTAAGGTGAGCTGGCAGATGGGAAAATGAGAGGGGTAAGATATGTGGACAGATTACAGCCCAATTAGCAGTCACATCTCCCTTGGACATGTTGAAGCCTAACGACAGGAGCATCCCTGCCTTTCCCTCCCGTTGCACCTGAGGAGAGCATTCCCAAGGCTCTCTTTCAGCCCTTCCAAAGGGAGGTGCCCAGCACACTCCTTTCTCAGCAGGAGGACTGAGAACTGGCTCCAACAGCAGCACAGGGTTTGGAGGAACCTCCTGCCAGGCAGCAGCACCCAGGACATCGATCACCATCCTCCTGCCAGGCAGCACACAGGGCATTGATCACCAGCCTGGAATCAGCCTTCTGCTGCTCTGGCACAGCCTCCACTCCTGCTGACAGGGAATGAACAATCTGCACCAAACCACTCCCTCCCAGCCTAATCCTGAACACTCCCCTCTCCATCCAACTCACGGAGACCAGTTCAAGTTCAAATTTGGGTGGGTGTCTCTCTGCCTTTCTCCCTGTGATGGACCAGATCTGGTTCAGATCTCCAGCCCATCGCCCACGTGCTGAAGTTGGGTGCAAAACTCCATTTTCCAGGGAATATTGTGCTCTCCAGGCCAGAGCCATGACAGAGTGCCTGTTGGTAGCAGCGCAAGGACATCACGCACGCTCGCTCTGATCTCCTGCTCGCCTCGTCTCTCCCTCCCCTGCTAAAGTCTGGCCTTGATCTTTGGGAACAAGGCTTCCTTTGTAGCATCCCTTCACAGCCAGGAAGCTGGGGAGGAAAGGAGAAAGGCAAACTGTTCTTTGCCAGTGCAGAGATCGGGGATGGAGACACGGAGATGCAGCGACTGATCTCACCCCCCACCAGCAGACCCTCAGCACCCCTACAGCATTTACAGGGGTTTGATGCCCCATTTCCATGGCAGGTGAGTGTTGCACTGCAGGAACACCCCTCTGTGTCAGAGGAAAGGCTGGCCTAGCCCTGTATCCTGCCCTGACCCCAGCTAATTCCACGTGCCTGGAGAAAATATAAGGAAAGCAAGTGTGTACTGACATTTTTCCAATAGCCTGTCCCATCTGCCACAGCCAACAGCGACTTCAGGACTTCCTCAGCTACAGACAGTGTCCTCATTTTTACCAGCTTTTGATGGAGTTTTCTCCTTCTTTTTGGTTTTCTAGTTTGTTTGTTTGTTTGTTTGTTTGTTTTAGCTCAGGCAAACTTTTGGCACCAGCCAAGGGATTTCACTGTTTACATCAACAAGGCTTCAGCCTTCACCTGCAAGCAGCTCCTATTCCAAAATACTGCATATCCTGGGATATTTCCAGCCTAGGCCACTGGAAAACAGGTACTGCTGTGACTCTCCTTCCAGCTCCCAGGCACGGGGTGCACAACGACGCAGTCCCAGAGGCACCAAAAACGAGGAGGATGGCTCTCTTTTTTCTTTTAAAATTCTTTATTTATAAAAAAGTACATTTTTTTTTTCCACAGCTGAGCCACTATTGGTTTTTATACAAGTAAAAGGAAGGGTGATGCAACACCCCACCCACACAAATTATATCCATGAAAATGTCCCCCCCCCACCCCCCAGGACTCCAAACGAACAAATTACAAAGGATGGAAAACAGGACAAAAAAAAAAAAACAAACCAAACAAAAAATCATAAAAGTCCATTACATTATTATTATTTTTATTTTTTATTTTATACAAAAGCACTTACAACACAGATTACCAAAAAAATTAAAACAAAAAAAAAATAGTGGGGTTGGGGTTGTTTGTCTGTCTGCAGTCTTTATTCCACAATGATAATTACAGCAAGAGGATGAAGAAAAAGAGAGATAAAATCACTGGAGCTAAGGAATCATGTTGTGGTTTTTATTTAAAAAAAAAAAAAAAAAGAAAGGCAAAAGAAAAGAAAACCCAGATCCTCAGCATGAGTCCCTCCACCAGTACCAGCTTCTGCCAGTGGAGGATCTGACCCCACATGCTCCTTACATTCACCCCCAGGTAAACTACACATGGAAAGTCACACTGGTCCAAAATACAAAGTTTTGAGACCCAAACTCAACCTCCTCTCTAAGGCTTGGGTTTCCTCCCCTTGCTGGTGGGCTGAATCCCCCCTTCACCCCTCTCTGCCAGGTCCCCTTGCCCCCTCCCACCCCTGTGGCCCCTGGGGAGAGGCTGGTGAGTTTGGGGAGTGCTGGTGAGGCAGTGGTGGGACCTGAGACCTTCCCACCCTTGCCCTGCCTCTCCCAGCCTGCAGCTCAAACCACCAGCACCTCTCAGCAAACACGAAGGGGGTGGCAAGAGGGGGGTGAAAGTGCAGCTCTGGGGAGGGTGAAGCGCTGTTTTACACCCCATGGAATGAAGAACAGGCATCAGTGCACACCAGGCTGGCAGGGTCCCCTCTCCCCATGGGGGTCCTCTGCCCACAGCCCGGGCAGACCCAAAACTTCAGTGCTACGACAGCAGGGGTTGTGAGCTTGGATAAAGGGGAAAGTGGATTTTAACCTGCTGGCAAAAGGCTCCAACCCATCTCACTGCCTCCCCTCCTGGATCTAACTGGGCCAGGAAACCTCTGAGCCTGCAGGAATGACACATCTGACTCCCTCAGGGAGCTGGGCATGGGGGGAACCCCTTCCACCCAAGGATTGGTGCCCAAAACTCCCAAAACTCGGTGTGCATGTGTGTGTGTGTGTGCTTGTGCATGGGAAAGGCAAACAGCAAAGCAGAGCAGCAGCCCCTGTTCTAATCACATTCCCTTCCCTAATTGCTTGAAGATCAATCTTTGGAATCTCTCTCTCTCTCTCTCTAACCCTCTGTGATTTCTGCTGAACAGTTGTTGTTTCTTTTTGACTCAACATCAGGAAAATGGCTCCCTTTGTCCCTCCTGTCTTTGCAATCAATTTGGTGTAACCACTTCAGTTTGTTGATTTATTTCACGAAGAAATCCTCAGGTTGTTTCTTTTTGTAATTTTTTATTTTTTCCCCACCTGGTTGAATGACAATAACTTAACAGGGGGGAAAAAAAATAACCCTGGTAATTAAATAAGGGAAAATAACATCACTAGGGTGAATTGCAATGAATAATCCTAGAGATAAACCCCAGCAGGAAAACAGCTGGGGTGTCTTTGTACATAAAACCACAGGCTCCTTTTGGTTTGTGACAAAGATGGGTTTGCTTGTACAGCTCCTTGAATACACACAGGGAAGAAACTGGGGGATCAGCCCAAATTTCACCAGTGTTTTGGGTCACGAGACCCACAGGGTTCAGCCTGAGCTCCCCCTCAGGCTGCCACCCAGGATGAGGGCTGGGGAAGGGAAGAAGCACCATGCTGATACGTCTCTTCACTGGCAAGGATCAGGATCTGGACAATGATCCCTTCAGACGGAGGTGGGGCAGCCAGCCACGGCCCCCAGGCACTGACACCCAGTCCCCAGCGGGGTGAAGGCGTTTCCCAGGCACAAAAGCCAGCCCAGGTACCCCTAATGGGACACACCAGCTCAGGACTGGTGTGTAAAGGGACAATCCCTGGAGAGCAGCAGCTCCCGAGCACCGGGGAGGAGAGGATGGGGACAGCTTCCCTCTCCCAACTGGAAGCTTCCACTTGCTCTTTTCCCAGGTCCCACGGGGCCCTTTGACACCTCCTTAGCACCTCTGATGAAAGGGGGGATGGAGAAGCAGGGGATTTTTCACTCCAGGCAGCCTGAGGGTCCCAGAGGGGTCACCCAGCCTGGGAGCTCCTGGGCAGCTGTGAAATTCCAGCCTGGCACAATCTGCCCACTGTGAGAAACTGGGGCACAGAGGGACAAGTGACACTGTCCCCTCAGGAGAGAGCAGATTGTCCCTCTGACCCCCTCTTAGTCCATGCACCAGGAAGCCCCTGGGGCCACTGGGCAGGTTGTCCCTGCAAGGTGAGCACTGCAGTGTCTCCAGCACCTTTCCCTCCCCTGCAGAACCCCCCAGGAAGCACGTGGTGTTCAATTTGGCATCTCTCCTGAGCTCCCCCCTGCATTCAGGTAGAGACAGGAACCACTTTCTTCCTGATGATGCTGGAAAACCTGATCTAATTACCTTCAAGGGCTCCCTCAGAGCAATTCAACCCAGAGAAGACAGTGATGCTATTACAGGACCAAAACAGATCTCAGATGTAACATCAATCTGATTTTCCACCCCCACACTTCTTTTTCCTTCTGCCTTTTTCTTATGGATTAAAGGCTAATCACTTGGCTAATTGCCACCCCAAGAGTCTCCTGGCCATTTAGCTGACCTTGCATGGGACAGCAAGAAGCAAATCCCAGCACAGAGGTGGCATTTCTCTGTGGCTGCAGGGACAACTGCACCGAGGGAGCAATGCTGGAGGGCCCAAGGATGAGAAGAATGCCCTCCTGAACCTTGATCTGGCAGGGTACCTCACTGCTGTGCCAGGCAACGCTGCCTAAGGATCCTCCACCCCAGGCTTGTTCAGGTTCTGGATGAAAAATAATCGTTTGACCCCTTTTCTGAAGCACTGTGATGAGGTAAGTGGCTGAGCTGAGTCCTACATTTGTGCTGGTGCAGTGCTGGGGAGGAAAAAAATGTGCTGCAGCAGAAAGGGAACGAGCTTGGAAATACCATGTTGCTCCAAAACCTCCTTTCCTTTCCCTGGGTTTTTTGAGCCCCATTCAGTGAACTGTGTGGACAGTGTGTGCACAGGCAGTAAATGAACCATCTCCAAAAACGACACCTCCAAATGCAAAGTAGTAACTACCCAAAGCAGGTTGCTCAGGACTCCTTGTTCACAGTTCCTGAAAGCCACACCTCAACTTGGGAACATCCACACTGTCCTGATCCCTCCCAGGCCCTCCTGCTCTGTCTGCCAGGCTTTGTGCCTCTGGTCTTTAGGGCACAGCTTCCCTGTGGGGTCAGTGCAGTGGGAATTTGCCAGCTCAGAGCAGTGGCCCCTGCCTGTGACTAATGAAGAACATGCAGAATCTCGGCTGGACCCTGCAGATCTTAGAAAAGGTTGTTTTCTTCCAAACCCATCCCCTCACAGAGTGTGTCTGTGCCACCAACTGCACTCTGGTGATGGACCACCCAGAGCCTGGTGCTGGAGACACTGTCCCAGTCCTGCTTAGAGCCTGGCTGTGAAATGCAGACCTAAAGGATTATTCACTTGGGAGGAGGACTTTGCTGGGAATTCCCTCTGCAGCACACCCTGTGTGACACTGGGGTGAGCTGTGGCTGAGGTACAACCCCCAGCTGTGCTGCCCCTGCCCTGGTCCAGATTACAGATTCCTTTGGGGAATTAAAGCCCTGTGTATGCTGCTATCCCAAAGCACTGGAGGGAAGTCATTCCCACTCCTAATCACCAGCCCTGACTAGTCATCAGAGATATGTTAAGAGATTTTATTTCCTTTATTGGGGAAGGTGTTTCTCACTATCAGGGTGCTCCTGGGGGCAGTGGATGGACCCAGGAAGGTTTTAGCCTCATTTTTTAAGCTTCAGCCTGAGAGACCCCAAGGGAAGCTCTGTCTGCCCTGCCTTCCAGAGGACATAAAGCAGCCTTCCTGTGGCATGTGGCTGTTCTGCCAGAAGCCAGGAAGCCTGAAGGGCTGGCAGGAACAGCAGGAAGATTACAGGCCAACAATTGGATTTCCCACTCCCCTTCCCCACTAACGCAATCAGAGCAAGGGACAAACTGTGGATGGCTCAGGCTGAGCTTCATGTGGTCTGGACCAAGCACCACATGGCAAAGGGGAGCACTGGAAGCTGCCTGGATCAGAGATCTGACCTTGACTCATCTGTGTGGGTCTGCCTCTCCACCCTCTCTTCTGCAGCAGGATAAACCACTGGATGCTATGGAACAAAACCCAGCAGGTAAGGCAGGAGGAGAAATTAGTCCTGCTATTTTTAGATGTGCATGATAATACAGCTCAGAAAACTGGGGATTTCTTTTCAAACAAAAGATTTATTTATACATCAAATTAAAAAAAAAAAATAAAATTAACCCACAAGAAGAAAAATAAGCCCCAACCCAGTGAATCTAATTTTGGAGACGGTCGGTGTGAGGCAGAGGGCCCTGAAGTCTGGAATCCCATTTATCCACAGAGCAGAGATAGCAGCAATCCAAACCTCCCCATCACAACACAGTGGCTCAAGGGAAGGAGGACGAGATCAATACCCCAGGCTCAATCACTCCTACCCTGTCTACCAAGCCTGTGCTTAGAAGAGGGATGTGATATTGGAGAAGTGGCAATCAATGCCAACTACGTGGTACAGCCAAGGCTGGGGTTGTTGCTAGGAGAGAGAGAGAGAGAAGAAGAAGCACCCCCATGCTCTGATCAGAATAAAATTAAAAAAAAAAAAAAAGTGTAAACACATGACAATTAAGTCTTAGTGGTATAACAAAACCTAGGGGCTGATCCTGCCCTGCCAGGGCGTGCAGAGCTGAAGGCAGTGAGTGTGTGGAAGCGAAGTGTGCTCGGTTGGTCCCTTCCCCAGTCGGTGTGTGCCCGACACAGTTGTGCCCCCAGTGAACTGCTCTGGGGCTGGTACTGACAACAACAACAGCAACAAGAACAAAAAGAGCCAGCATTTCTCTGAGCCATCACAGGGGGAAAAATGTCAGCAATAAATACTCCTCTTCTTTCTTTTAAAAGAACACTCAGACAAAGACAGAAAATGAAAAGCCAGGAAATAATAAATTGTGGAGGGAAAATGGCAGTTTGGTTTCCCTGCTCTGCTATCAGCTCGTGCACCTGGGGTTTGGTCCAGGGCTTTTTTTTCCCCCCCTTTCCTCCTCATTTTCCTTTTTTCGAGTCATTAAAAACTGGGTGTGGATCTCTCCAGGTGTGCAGCAGGCAATGGGAATGTCACCCAGACCCCACCGAAGTTAAAAAAAAAAAGCAATGAGGGGACAAAAACCCCAATCCATTCACCTGATAAAATGGCACCTACGCTTCCATTGCCATAAACTTTCCTGGCCTCTGTCCTACGGACAGCCCCCCCCCCTCCCAAGGTTAAAAACAAACAAACAAGACAACATACAAACAAATTCCAGTGTTTCAGGGGGGTGGGAGCGGGAGGAGGAACCCTCGGGGAGGGAAGTGGGGCCGAAGGGCACTCTGAGACATGAAGACACAAACAGAGTGTACTATACAGGCTGGGCAACAGTCGTTAAAGCAAAGAGTAACACCTAAGCCACCGACCAATACAAACACCACAGAAGGGGGACGAGAAGTCATCGAGAAATTAAAAAGAAAAAAAAATAAAAAAAAATAAAGCAACCAAAAAAAAAACGGAAAACCTGGAAAACCGAGAGAGGAAATAATTACCCAACCTCCCACCTCCCGTTAATGCCTCCCCTCCCCACACCCGCCAAAAAAAAAAAAAAAAACAACCAAAACTGATCTGTAAGCAAAGCTGCCCTCCTCTCTCCCTGCCCCAGCCCTTCCTTGCCAGTGCTGGAAGTGTCCAAAAGTCCGTGCTGGGGCTGGCTGGGGGCATGTGTGTGTGTGTGAGTGTGTGCAGGGGGAACGTGGGTGTGCAAGCTCCGAGGGGTGCAGGGGAGCAGGAGGGCATCACTCATGTGTGTGGTGTGTGTTTGTGTGTGTGTGTGTGTGTGCTGGGTGCAGCAACGTGGTGCCAGGCTACACGTACCACTCCTTTTTGGAAATAAAAGACCCGTCGTTCTGCGACACCATGTTCTCGGCCATGTCGAGCTGCTCGGGGTCGTACTGGAAGCCGAGTGTCCTCTCGTCGTAGGGCTCGGGGTGGGCCTCCCCCTCGTCCACGGTGAAGTAAGGCCTCTTGGCGTCCTCCTCGTACTTGTTGGGGCCGCCCAGCTTGCGCTCGCCGCCCGCCTCCTCGTCCTCGTCCTCGTAGGTGCTGCCGCCCAAGGGGCCCGGCTTCTTCTCGTCGTCCGAGTCGTCGGGGTACTGCAGGTTCTGGGCCATGGGGGGGTGGTGCTGGGGGATGCCGGCCTTGCTGTAGCCGTTGCCGTACACGTGCTTCTTTGTGCTGTAGTCACCCTTGAAGGTGTGACGCCGGCGCCGGAGTACCACAAAGAGCACCACGGCCACCAGCAGGACCAGCGAGACTCCTCCCACTATGCCCCCAATCACCGGTGTGGGGATGTTCGGCTGCACCATGGATTTGTGATCATCGATTGGAGACGGGGTGTAGGGGAATTCTGGGTAGGAAAAGACAGATGGAAGGGGGAACAGTGTCAAACCATGCGGAAACGCGCCCCTCCCTCCATGCTCTCATTGCCAGTTTGGGGAGGGGAGGGCGGGGGGTGGGGGGGTGAGGGGGTGGGAAGATGAGGGTAAGGAACAGGGAAGGGAAAAACTAGGGAAAAGGGAATAGGGGCGTCCTCTGGGTGAAGGGGGGCAGCTCTGCCTCAGCGAGGGGAAGGCGGCGTGCCGTGCCAAGCTGGCCAAGCCTCATGCAGGAGCCCCGCAGGCTGGAAGCAGTGTGTCCCTCCCCACCCCACCTGGTCTCTCCAGACGTGCTCAGATCCCACCAGCCCAGTGTCTTGAGTCCGGACGCTTTCCGCTTTAGCGGGTGGCATCTTTTCCAGTTCCAGTTTCCTCCCGGGGCGCACTGGCAGCCCCAGAGTGCTCCTTGACGGGGAGCCACCCCCAAAACCCCAGCCCAGAGGTGGGCACCGAGATGCCACAGCTGCTCCGGGAGGTGCCACGCATGGACACACCGGCTTTGCATCCCCCTCCCGGCACCCCAGCCCAGACCACAACCAGTTCGGTCCAGAGCAGAAGGCACCAGCACCTTGTGATCTCCCACTCACACATCCACAAGTGCTGTGTGGCTGCTCAGAGTCCTGCAGGCTCCTGACCCCGTGTGCTGACCCTGGTGACTGTTCTCTGCAGCACAGGGACACAGACCTCCCACCGCTTCTTTTTCTTCCACGGCCAGCCCAGTGCCACTACTCATGCTAATCTTGTTCCTACAGTTACCCTGACCCATTTTAAAAAAAAATAAATAACTCAAAAGAGAAAGAGAAAAAGAGATGAGAAAGCAGCTCTCTTCCCTTTCATGCAGTTCAACACCTACACTTTGGCACAGATAAAGTTTGATTCAGGACTTAAATCAACTTCCTGACGCTCCCTGGGCACAGTTACAGCCCCTGGCCAAACTCAGCTTTCACACAGTGCCTGTTGAACACCCGTGTCCACGAGGCATTAAGCACCACATGGTTGTCTCAGTCCTTCACCTGCCTCTGAGTTTAGACAGCAGGCGCCTGGTTAATGCCCCATGGCAGCCCTGCCCTTGCACACCAGGCTCAGACCTCTCCCACTGCTTTTCCCACCCCCAAGGCCTGTCTGCCAGCCCTGCTCTGAGCTGCAAACCTTTGGTGCTGCTCTGGAGCCTCCTGGTCCCTCACTTTTTACCCCAGCGGCCAAGGAGAGGTGCAGGGCGAGCAGCAACCTCCACGTGCCCTCCCAGAGAGCTGCCAGGATGGGGAGATGGGGAAGGAGGGGCTCAAAGGCAGCAGATTCCAAAGGGATATGAGGCAGTGTCTGCCTCCTACCCCTCTTCATGTCCCTGCTGGCAGGGAGTGGGATTCTGCAGCACAGTTTAGCCCAGCAGCTGAGCAAGAGGGGAGAAAAGAGCTTCCCCCCAACAGAGGCAGTTCCTGAAACAGCTGCAGATTTTGGACAAGGGCACTGAATTTGAGCAATTGCTGGCCTGATCCATAAATGGGGCTTTTTTTTTTTTTTATTATTTGTGCTTGAAAGCTGATTTATTCCTGCCTTTCCTGAGACGACAACAGCATCTTGGTCTCTGCAGTGCTGCCTTGCCTTGAGCAAAGCCTCATGAGGCTGAACCCACACAGAGAGCAGCCCACTGGGCAGAGTGGGCTGGGGACAGGCAGATGGGGGGGTCCCTGCTGCAGCCAGAACGAGGAGCAAGATGCTGTGCAGGCAGGAGGCAGCATTTTTCCAAAGGCAGCCTTTGGAGCAGCAGCAAGGGCATGTCTTTCAGCACAGGGAGCTGGGGCTGGGTTCTGGAAAGCCAAAACCACATGTTGCATCAACAGAAGGCTTGTCACAGCCAGCTGGTTAATGCAAAACCTCTCTGCAGGGACAGCAGGAAAAGTCACGTCCATAGTCTTGGCTGCTGAGGGCTCGGCCTCAACCACACTGCTCCTTCCACCTCCCCAGGCTGCTCGTTGCCCTCACAGCCTCTGCAGCCCCGTGCTGCCCAGTTCCCAAAACTGGGCACAAAGCAGGGACCACCTGGAGGCTGAGTGGGAGCAGGGAAAGACCAGCAAGCAGCTCAGTCCCCAGGGGCTCTATGTTTTATTTTCCCACAGCTCCGATCTGAAGCCTCTTCCCACCCTGCTGTTCCTCTACAGCAAGGCTGGTTTTGTGCACAGGACAAAAATCCACCCCTGAAAAGAACCCAGACGTGGTGTGCAGCGTCCCTAAAAGCCACCACTGATCCCTCTGCCTCCCTGCTCTGGAACACAGATCTGAGAGGGGCAGTGTGTGCCCGATTTCTGAAGGAGCTTGGCCCACTTTTCCCTTCAAAAGCCTCGTTAAGCAGTCCAGGTTGGACGAGTGAAGCGAAAAGCGTGGGGGTGGGGGGATGTTTTTCCTACCTTTCTTACAGATATTTATTTTTTCCTGCCCTTTGTGCTGCCCACCCCTGAGATAGCACCTGCCCACGTGCCGCCCCCCTGGCACTGCCAGCGCCGTGGACACGAGCACAAGCTCACGCCTGGGCTTCACACGTCGCTCGGGGAAGGAACTATTTTCTGCTCCCATCCCATCCCAGCCCCATCCTCCTCGCAGTGGCCCAGTTCCCATGCCAGAGAAAACAAACCCGAACTGTGGGAAGAGAGGGAGAGGGAGGACGGGGGAGATCACAAGCCAGCAGCCGAAATCATCCCCTCCTTGGCCACGGTCTCCTCCCACCGCGTCCCTCCGGAGCGGGCACGAGGGGGGCTCTGGGGATGCCATGGGGAAGGTGGGAGACCCCGGTGTGGGGGAACAGGAAGAACAGAGGGGTCAGTGGTCCAGGGAGGAAGGATCCTGGCCACTCCAGAGCCCAGCACTGCCACTGGATGGCGGCACAGACCGGCGCTGGCTCCGGAGCAGGGTGGGCACTGCTGGCGACCCTCACCGTGGCCTCCAGGCTGCAGGAGCAGCGAGGGTGGGATGAGCCAGGAAGGGAGGAATGTTCCCTGGGAAGGCAGCAGTGTTCCCAGACAGGGCTGTGCCTCTGCCTTGCAACAAGGTGCCCCGGTGCCAAGGCAGGTGGTGAGCGGGGACCAGAGTGTCACCTGTGCCTTGGCCCCTGCCGGGGTGCCCCCACCCAGCTCCCAGGTTAATTAATGACTGGGACAGGTCTGACCACTTGGTTTCGTGTCTGGGGTGCAAAGAGAGAAGAGTTACAGCCTGTGGAGGGAGGGGGCAAGTGTGGGAAAAGGAGCCCTCTTATTGTGTCCAAGGGGGGCGTGAAATTTCTGGAAACTGGTGCGATTCCTGAGCGTGCTTGGGGGCCCCCATGTGAAAAATCCATTAGGAAGAGTCTGGAGAGAATTAAAGCCACTGTGAAAAGCGGCCTGGAGAAACAGGAGACAGCAGAGCAGAGGGAGGGGGAACAAGCCAGGCTTTAATGCCAGCACAAAAAGCCTCCCCCCTCTCCTGCCACCCCCCCAGCCCTCATAAAAAGAGGGAGTGCTGTATGAATAGGAATTAAAGCAGCAACACTATCTGCCCGTGCCCGGCTCTGCCAGCTGTTGCATTCAGCCCAGCTTCCTGTCCCCGTGCCAGGAGCTGGACCTCTGGGACAGCAGCTGGGAACGCCGGGGGGTCACCCTGGGCTCTGCTCTGGCACCCGGCCGAGCCCACAGGTTCTCTTTGATCCCTCCATCCACGGCTCCAGGCACCTCCTGCCTTCCCCCTGCAGCACCCCTGGGCACAGCAGAGCAGCCACTGCAGTGACAAACCCTCCCCATCGCTGGAGTGGCCTCAAAAATGAGGCTTTTTAAAACCCACATCTCTCCTCCTAATGGCTGGCTTCCAGTAAAAATGAGGCGCATGCAAATCATCCCACCTGCCCATCCATCCCTTCCCTAACGCCTTTTGAACCTGCTGGCCAATTTCAGTGCTATCTGACGGAAGGAGAATGATCCAAAATTAGCCCTCTCATAAAGCTCTTGGTGAAAGCTGGAGAGGGATCCTTGGCAGAGGTGGGAACTAAACCTCATTAGACATCAGAGAACCCACAAGGACAAGAGGCTGCTCCCAAAGGGCAGGACGGGCCCAGATCAGAAAAAGTGTATTTTTAGACACCAGGTAATTCTTCTGTGATATGCAGATCCACGGGAAACCAGCTTTCAAAAGCCCTTCTGCTCATCACACCGCTTGGATATTTTAAAAGACTCTACTTCTTGTGGACACGTTTCTTCTTGAAGGCACATCTCCATCCTTCTGCCTTCAATCATAAAGACCAAGGAAAAAACCCAGCACCAGCCAAACTTCTCCCTGCAACCACAGGCACTGAGGAAAACGTCAAACTCCACGAGAAATCACCTTCTGGACACGTGTCAGCCCAAGCTGCTCCTTGCATGAAGCTCTTCCAGAGGAAGGCTCTGGATTTCCTTCTACCTTGCAAAACCAAACACCCGCCGCAATGGGAAGCCAGGGAGAGCAGCAGCTCTGGGGAGGAGCAGGAACCTTAATTCCAATGGATTCATGGGGCTTCCCAGTTCCCAGATGGCCTCAGCAAACACAGCAATGACTATGTGGGTGTTGTTTTTTTTTTTTAAGAGGCAGATTGCTGATGGCAAACTTTCCCTGCCGGAAGAGTCCACGCCAAATTACCCCAGGACTTTGCCCCCCGCGCTGTGTACACGAGTGAAGATAAGGAGATACCTCTGGTCCTGCCTCAGCCTGGAATTTGAGAAGCCCATTGCACTGCTGCCCTCTTCCCTTCCCCTCTGCACCTCTGTATGCCCACCTCCAGCTCCAAGGGATCCCGCCCTTCCTCTCCCTTCCAGGGGTTTCTTGCGCAGACGGAGGGAGAGGAGGTGGTGGAGGGGTGGAAAAACCACTGGCAACTAATCCAGGAGTTCAGCAGCTGCCACTGGCATTTCAAGAGTGTGACGGCTTCCAGGCCAGATGCCAAACGTGTCTTAGGTTCTAATCTCTCCACCAGGTCACCTATCACCTGTCAGTCAAGCCCTGCTCCCGCGGGGGCCGCTGGCACAGATGCCACCAGACGGGATGCAGCAGACACTCCGGGAGATTAGCATCAGACAGACACCCCCCTTCCCCCAAGGCTTGTTCCTCTTCATCCCCCAGCCATACATCCTGCCACTTAAAGCTGCCTGGCCGGTGGGTGGCGAGGCTTTGGGAGCACCTGCTTTAGGCTTGGGATTTAGGACTTCCCAGAAAGGGCCTTCCCTGTGTGCTCTGAGCCTCAGCAAAGCCCTGCTGCTGCACGGCAGAGGGTTCCAGCCAGCCCAGGGGCTGTTTGCAGTGACCTTGCTGGGACGAGATCACTGCTGGTGTGTAAATAACTCCCTGCTGCAAGCCAAGCAAACTGGGGGGGTGGTGATCAGCCCCTGCCAGCTTTTCCTTCCCCCCAAGGCCAGGGCTGGCACAGCCTCTCCCTGCTCCCCCAGCTCTCCTCTGAAGGTCCATGAGGAGAAGAGATGCTGTAACATCTCCCTCCTTGTGCTGAAGGCAGTACACAAGCGGGTGAACGTCCCCTGCACACACACACACACACAAATGTATATGTACAGACATGCACAGGGGATGTGCCTGCTCTGCTGCACACAGAAAAGCACATGTTCATAAACACATGCACACTCACACGTGCAAATGCACTGGTGTTTTGTTCCTGCACACACAGGTGAGTGTGCAGCAGGGCATTCCCTCTGGGAAGCCCATTTCCACAGCCAGGAGGAGCATCAGGGTGACACAGGGGTGTGTGTCCATGATCAAGGATACAAATGGGGTCACACACGTGCCATGTCCGTGGCCAGGACACAAATTAGGGCCCTACAGGTGTGTATGGCCACGAGCAGCCCCCTGTGCAGGACCCCCACACCCCACACACCTGCAGCCTCCAACCACAGCCTTTCATTATGTCCCCCACCCGCCTGCAATAAACAGTGACATGTCACACTACATGGCTGGGCTGCGACTGACAAAGGTCCTGCAAGGCAGGGGAAGCTATTATAGGAACAGATTGCTGGAATAAAATATTAAATTTCCACTTATCAATCTCTTTAATGCGCTATAACTCTAACAGAAGCATTCAGCCTTCTCCCTCGGAACAAGTCTCCTTCCCCATCAGGGGCCAGAACCAGCCCTGCACTCCTCCTCTCTGGGGCCTGGAGGAAGGATTTTGGGTGGCAGGAGGGGGGGATATAGGGAGGTAAGAAGGGGGAAAAGCTGCTGCAGGGTTTTCTCTGCATCAGCCTTCTGTGTTGTGTTTTTTTTTTTCCCTCCCAAGGCTGGCTGCTCGCTAGATTGAACTCCATTTATTGCATGCAGCTCTTGAAAGAGGTTTCGTGGTCCACTGACAATCCCTAAATTGCCTGCAAGACCCAAACAAATGTACCTGTAATAGCTGAGCGAGGAGGGCTCAGCCCTCCCCAGCACTGGCCTAATCGGTCCTGAGGGAGAGCTGGATAAACATATTCAGATCCCATGAATTATTAAAGGCTTTTTTTTTTTTTTAATGTGGTGGAGGCCTGGCCTACTGGGTTGGCTGCTAATCCCTCCTGTCAGGGCAGCAGTGGGTGTGCCCTTCATTCCCTCTCGTTTAACCTCAACCCCACAGTTCGGACCTTTGGGAATAAACTGAGATTACAGGCAGGCAGACACCAACCCAAACCCCAAAATCCTGCCAGTCCCCACTTCCTCTGCCAGCTCTGTGCTGATGGAGCGTGGGAACAGTGCTCTGCCAGCCCTCTGAAGAACCACCAGGAAGGGACACACTTCCAAAACCCCGAGGGGGAACCCACAGCCCCTCGTCCCCAGGGGAGCCTGTGCCTGTGCAGGTGAGTTGGTGCAGGGGTGCTGTGGTGCTGAGACACACTCTCAAAATCTTCTGCAATAACTGTTCCACCACCTACTCTGTGACTGGGGGCTGGGTTTGGAGGCTTTTGCCCTCTGCTCACTGTTCCAAATGTGAGCCAGTGTTCGAGTTACTGCGTGGGATGCGTTTCTATCGCCGAAGGGAGTCAGCTCAGCTTGTTCCAGGCACTGCCTGCACTGTCCCAGGAACGCTGTGCCTTTGGTGGCAACTCCCATGGCATGGCCAGCAGCTGATTTTGGCCATGACCTTCCCCTGGCTTCAGGCACTTGGGAGGGTTGGGCAATGAGAGCTTTGTTCTCCCACTGCCTTTAGCTGTGGAAACAGCCCCCAGAGAAAAGCATGCACCAAGAACACTCAGCAGGCAAGGATCCAGGACAGGAGGTGTGAATTAAAGGCCTGCTACAGTGATAATGATCATAAATAAATACTGGGTAATTAGCATCTAATTAGCACGTCCCATCCATTGACCTCCAAGCACTTGGATAGAGGAAGATTAGCCTGGTTTACCCATGTTACAGAGAGGGGAACTGAGGTGGTGAGGGTGCCAAACACAGAGTTATTGCTCATTTTAGCTGCCCTGGGCTCATATTTATGCTTGCTCAGCATTTACCACCACAGCAAGCGGGTGGAGGGGGCTGGAGCTCAGCCCCCCTGAGAACCCCATTCCATCACACTCGGGTTAAACAACTCTCCAAGGACTGGGGTGGCTCTGAGGGGTGCCTGCTGGCAGCACAGCAGGGCTCTGACTGCCTCGAGGTGGGCAGCAGGAAGGACTAACAACCCCAGGAACCTGCCCTGTATTTCCCTGGGAAGCCCCCAGTGGCCCCATCCAGCTCACAGGGTGACTGGGGTGTTTGCAGCCCAGACCTCATTGCACTGAGGTACTTCCAGCTCCCCTGAAACCCACAACTGCTGGGCACTGCCTGTCATTAACCCACTGATAAACCAAATCTGTCCTTTTACCCCAAAGGAATGGGGTAAACTTCCCTTTCCTGCTCTCAAAGCACCAACAGCCACTTTTCTCCTTGGGTGATGCCTTGCAATGTCACTTTGACTCTCCTGAAATGAGGCCATTGCCATATGGTATTTCTTTTCTTTCAGCTATTTCTTGACATCCCTTTCTCTCCCTGACACTACCTAAACTTCTCCACAGGTCTCTTCCTTGTTCCTGTGTCTAAGCCGATTTGCAAGTCATCAAATTCCTTCTGCCTCAGATGACATCACATAGCACCAGTGTCCCAATGCCTGCACCCTGTGATGTTACTCCTTTCTGGAGCCCAGACAAAGCCACTCCAGTGCCCACTGGAGAAATCAGCCAGGTGAGCCAGCGCACAGACCAACAGGGCAGTGGAAGGAGCTCAGATGAAAAATCATGAGGGTTACCTAACACCAGAAACACCAGACATCATCCTGCACAAATGACTCATCCATCTCACGCCTTGCAGCCTCGGTGGCAGCCCATATCCTCATCCTACCCCTTCTTCTCCCTTCCAACAAATATCTCCCTGACATGTCTTCGCTTTTAACACGCCCAATGATCTCTCTGAATCCGAAGCAGACAGACAAGGGGGAAACAAACTAGAACGTACCTTGGTGCAAGAAAGGAAAAGACAACACGAGGAAATGGAGGGGAAAAAAAATCCACGGCAAACCAGCGCAACACCAGAACAGAGCAAAGAACCTCCCCCCTGCACCCTCTGCACCACCTGAGGCTGAGGAGATGCGACTCTCCCTCCCCAGCTCCTCGTCACCGTGTTCCAGAGCACACCAGGTGTGGTCCTACCTGTCACATTGACCTCCACCAGGCCCGAGCGTGTGCCGATGGCGTTGGTGGCCTCGCAGACGTAGGTGCCGGCCACGCTGTAGGACACGGGCCCTTTGAAGTAGATGGTGTTGTTCTGGATTTCCACGCTCCCTGGCAGAGTCCCGTTTGGCCTGGGGAGGGGACACAAAGAGCGTGGTTGGCCCCAGAGGTGACACCCGGTGTCGCAGAGGAGGCACCGACACGCTGGGGCTGCTTTTGGGCAGGTCCAGGAGCTGGTGGTGCTGTCTGGAAGGCACCCCTTGATGCGGCCAGGAAAAGGACACAACCTGACCCTGCTCAGCTCCAATTTCCTGCCCATGTAACACTCCTGGGCAGCTCATCAGCCAGTGTTAATTGCAACTCAGGCTCTAAAAGAACAGTGTTGATTTAAAGCCCTGCCATCTATGACCTGCCCGTGTCAGAACAGCAAGTGTGAGGCTGGAATAATGCAAAACTAGAATAAATGAACAAAGGCAGATACAAAAAAAATAATATAAAAAGCCCCTGTGTGTTAGGAAAAGACACACATGGCCTGGTTATCCTTAATTACTGAAGCAAAGTAAAGTAATTACTTCTCTTAGGCAATTAAAAATTACTCAAGTAATTCCTTCCCCTCCTCCCGACCCAAATGTGCACATATTGTCAGCAATTTGTAAGAAACAAAAGGGAATAACGGGGGTATAATTAGGATTGTAAAGAAGTGCCTAAATGCACATGCAGTTATTTTGCATGTCTACATGCACACACAGGCACACACCAAGAGCAAACATTTTAGTCTTTCCCAGCTCCACCGATCCAGTGATCCCAGAACTGATGGAAGAACAGAACACCTCACCCTTGGTCCTACAGAGCCCTGAATCTACAGAGACAAGGGCACATCATGCGGGGTGGGATGCTAAAGAAAGCCACTGCCTCCTCTAACAGCTCCCCTGACTGTTGCTCATCACCACCCAAATGGGAGGGGAGGAAAGCACTGCTGGGTTTTACATTCCAGGCAGGAGCAAAACAGCAGCAGCAGTAATTGCTTCCTGACCTCCAGGAAGGGGAAGAGGAACATCTGAGCACAAAAATAGCCTCAAGTGGCACCTTTTCTGCCGTGGGTGCATCTTGGCCTCTGAGGCTTTCTTGGAAATGTTATGAGGAGCCCAAAGAGCCCCTCAGAGTTTAAGCCAGACTGGCAGAACCAACAGATGGAGAGAGCTGGGGATGAGGACTAGAAAAAAGGCAAGAAAAACAATCCTCTTCAGACTTTCACTTTGAACAGTTTGATCTGGGAAGAGAAACGAGAGAGAATATGCTCCTTGCAAAGCCATGTGGAGAGCCTCTTTCCTGATGACAAATGCCAGCTGAAAAGAAGAAAGAATCCATTTGATCTTTCTCTTTTAAAGCTACATGAGTGCTTAGAGAAGAGAGAGAGCAGCAGAGAGAATCACATCAGGTTGTATCAATTCCCATCTGACTCCCCAGACACCCCTCACTCACTTTTCATGTCTCTTTAGTGTTTTCAGCCAAAAGCTGAAACCCTGGAGGATGAGGAATTGGTTCTGTTTAATGTCAGTCACGTGGGGATCTCCTGGAACTGATTCCAGGGAAAGGTTGTTCACACACAGACAAATTTTGTGCTATCTGTGCCCCTTTAAGGCAGGGAAATCCTGGGTTATTTTCCAGCTCTGCTACCGAAGCACTTGGTGGTGGCTGGGCAAATTAATCACCTTGTCACATCTCAGCTGCTTCACGTCACCAGGGCAGAACATTATCCCAGTGAGGTGAGAACAGGAAGTTTTCCTGGATATTGAGGCTGCAGTGCTGCTGGCAGCAAGTTTCATCACAGGCACAGGTTCTACCTTGGAGTGACACCGCTGACACTAATGGGACTGGGCCCTAATTGACCAGAGGGTGAGTGAGGTGTCTGCAGAGGCTCCCTGGCCCTCTTGGAAGGTGACATGTGCTGCTGAGAGCAGAGGCACTGGAGGCACTTACAGCTTCCATTCGTAGGTGTGAGCTGGGGGGTTGGCATCAGATTTGCATATCAGCTTCACATCCTTGCGGTTGAGGAACCAGTTGCCATCAAAGCCCTCGATGGTGACTTCTGGCTCATCTGCAGGGGGAAGGGTGGAAGAGAGGGAAAAGCAGTAGGGAAAAAAGGAGAGGACAGAGGGAAAAGGAAAGGAAAGAGTTGTGGAAAAGCAAGGAGGAGAAAATGAAACAGGAAGAGATGAGGGGGCAGGGGTGGGAGAAGGAGAGAGATTGCAAGGAGGCAAAGATGACAGGACAAGAAGTGTGAGGGAGGGGAGCAAAAGGGATGTGGCAGAGGCAGAGAGAGAAGGTGTGAAAAGGAGAAAACATATGATTATTCCAAGGGGATCACTTCAGTTTTCACTCTCAAAATAAAAGAGAGCATCCTCCACCAGACCAACATTTCCCCTTCCGAAAATTCTCTTCTGCCAGACTCTATCCCAGACTTCATCCCGCACACACCGCAGGGACTGGGCACTGACCCCTGCCCCCAGCCCTGCCCCCAGCCCTGCTCCAGGCCCTGCCCAGGCCCACTCACACTGCACGTTGAGGGTGATGCTGTCAGTGAACCTGTCCAGCTGGTAGTTGACCACACACATGAGCTGCTGCCGATGGGCCTCCCGGCTGGGCACCAGCCGGTACCGGCTGATCACCGTGAAGGTGCCGTTGCTGTTCCTGATCTCCTGGAACTCCGCCTCCCCCTTCAGCTTGGTGTCCCAGGTGACAGTGCTGGGGGGCTTCCCGTTGGAGGAGGTGCAGGTGGCCACCAGGATCTTTTCTGTCCTGCCAGACTTCGCGATGAGCGGCCTCTTGGTGCCCTCCATCCAGTTCGTGGGCTTGGCTGCGAGGAAGGGCAGAAAGAAAAGGGCACAGTTAACAATTTATCAATTAAGAGATGGTCAGCAAACCAATGCTACCCCGCCTACTGCATCCCAAGAGACATCTGGCACCAGTGTGACAGACCTTGGGGTGAGTCCTTGATGATTGCCAGCAATTATTCCCCTATAAGAGTTGTTTTACAGCAGTGCTTGTGCACCTTGCACCATCCACCTGTAGCATCTCTGGGGAAAGAATGGTGGAGGTGCCCACAGTGGGAAGTCAATCCTTTCCTGCCAGAGGTTTTCAGCCCTATGTTAGAAAGAAGCTGAAATTGGAGAGCAAACAAGTCACGTAGACCTTGGGTGGGTCTGTTCCTTCCCAACCCTAAGCTCCATGGACAAGCTCTGCTGGTGCTTAGGATCTCTCTCTTGTCTTTTCTTTCTGTTCACTTGGCAGTTACAAGCTCATTAAAACTCACCACTCCCACAGGGGACTGGCTGCTGTTATTGCACCTGCTTTAAGAGTGTAGATGGGGGGAAAAGGGGAACTGAGGCCTGGGGAGAAGAGCAGGTGTGACAGCTCAGCGAGCCACCTGCCCTGGGCTCCCTGCACTCCACTTCTTCCCAATCAGCTTGAAAGCTCATCCCAGGCAAAATTTACACCCAGAGATCCCCCTCTGCCCTGAGCTCCGGGGACACGAGCCTCAGGTTCCTCCAGACCTGCCGAGCTGGAGGCAAAGGGCTCACCCCTCCAAAGTCTTACCCAGCACAGTGAGGTTCAGCTGCCCTTCCCGGTTGCCGGTGGGGAAAGTTGCGAACTCACAGATGTAAACCCCCTCATCCTCCAGCTCCAGCCGGGAGAGCTGGATGGTGCCATCCTTGAAGGAGGGGTTCCGGAACGTCACCCTCTCCTTGTAGGGGGAGAGGATGGACACCCCCATGGCAGGGTTGTAGATGGCCACATTCTGCTTGGTGCCGTTGGTGGCCTTCTGCCACGTCACCTGCGTGATCTTCACATTGGGGAGGGGGTTGGTGAAGCTGCAGTGCAGGACCACGTCTGTGCCGATGAACCCCGACACGGTGTCATTGACCAGGACGGTCTGAGCTCGCAGTCCTGCAATGGAAGGGGAAGGCATGAGTGTGTGTGCCCTGCCCAGACAGGGAAAGAGAGAAACAACAAGGTTATGGGGCATCAGGCTCATGGAATCCCTTATTTATCCTGTTTGCTGCTTCCTGGCACGGCTGACACAAGAACAGTCTATGGCTACAGGTGCTCAGTACCTTCTGCATCCACCTGCACCTTCACTCCTTTCAATCAGGTGTTCATAAACACCTTCTTCCCCACAACTGGTGCTCACTCTTCACCACAGTCAGCCAAACCAGGGCTCTCGATCACCAGAAGTTTGGATCAATAATGCTTTCCTTCCTTTTGTCTTCAGCTCTGGGTGACACCAGCTCAGTTATGGTAAATATGCAGGGCATGTGTATCTGGAGGCATGTTAAAGGGCTGATATTTATCAGCACAGCACATCCTAACATATGTTAACACACACTCACACATCCATTTAATCCCACTGGAACTGCATCAGTAATTAAAGGAGCTGCAGACTCAGCCCTCATTGCAGGGCAGCAGTAATTCCCGTTTAAGAGTCACTTTACAGCACTGCCCATACACCTTGCAACATCTACCTGCATCATCTAGATCATTTCTGTGACCCTTTTTAACCCCAAAGTGGCAGAATTTAGGAACTTTCCATCTTGATTCTGTGGAGTAAAGATGAAAGGGGGCTTGGGAAAAGTGGTGGCTGGAGTTCGTGACAGTCCTTCTGGTTCTTGATTCCTCCCCTGACAGATGGAGAAAAATGTTTCCCACCAGACTGACCCTGACATTCATCTTTGCTGCCACTGTGTCTTTTCCCAATCTGTACATTTAGAGATAATACTCTGGTAATTATACAGCCAGTATTTATATGATAAATACAACGGAGAAGCAAGGTGGTAAGAACAAGAAAAGCGGGTTTTGCTCCCTGCTTCTGGCAGAATCTGGAATTGGATGTATTCTGGGAGCCTGAGAGTAAAGGAAAGAAAGGGATAATAAAGAGAGAAAGATGTACAAAGAGTGAGCAACATGAAGGGGTAACGAAAGAGAGAGAGGCAGGGGAAAGAAAAACGCACAGGGAGAGAAACCAGACAGCATCTTCTGACTGAAATGTCACCCTGCCCTGCTCCTGCAGGGGATGAATGGGCTCCCTGTGCCAGGCCAGAGTGAACTGCTCAGTGTCAGCCCCCACAGATCCCTGGCAGGTGTACCTGGGACTCCTCCAGTGAACCTGAGCAAGGCTCCCCTCCCGCAGTTTCACACACGCACAAGTGCAGGCAGACTGAAGTCTCCTCACCCACAAACACGCAGGCTCCACGCTGCCCTCTCACTCCGTGCCTGCTGCTCTCAGCCTCATCCCAATCCCCACATCTCATCTACGCCTCCTCCCTCTCCCCTTCTCCTTCCTGTGACCCCGAGGACAAGCCTCAACAGCCCAGCCCGGCCAGGAGACGCCACCAGCTGACCACAGCCATCAGCAGTTCCGACCGAAACTCGGCCTCCAGAGCTTTGTGTGGACTTGCCCCCTTCCCTGAGCCAAGCCCTGGTTTGCCCCACACCCCAGCACTGCAGCTGGGTGCTGAGGAATGTTTTCCAGAGCTGCTTTACAGCCACAGCAAAGCACTGGTGCCCTCATGTGCCTGCATGCACGAGTCCTTTGAGGCTCAGCCCAGCTGGCAGGGTGCACCTCTCCCCTCCCAGTGTAGCCAGGGACATTTTTGCCATGGTTTTCCCTCCTGAAACCAGAGGGAAGGGATGTTGCTGCTCTGAAAAAGTCATATCTGGACCATGTTTCTCCACTGGAGGATGTCCCAGCAGTAGGACACGGTGAAGGACTTCTCTGACACCAGCCTGGTCTGTGCCCACAATGCCCTTCCTGATGAAATGAGGGCATTGCCTGGGTTTAGATGATGTCATGCTGGGATTTGAGGAAAGAATGGGTGGATGGGGAGGGGGGACATGTGTCCAACATGCCCTGCAGCATATGCTGCTCCTCGCAGCCTGGAGGTGAGCGAGCCTCTTGTGGCGTTGCCCACACCCGCGGAGGTGAGGAACAGCTTTGCCAAGCAAAGTCTGGCTCTGAAGCCTTCAGAGCCTCCCAGAGCATGTGGGAGCTTGCTGGGGAGCAATTCCAGCACGTAGCCAGGGCCTTGGGAACAGCCCACCACCCTCCTCAGCACTGCCTGGCTGGAGGTGTGCTCAGCTCCCCCTCCTTCCCCCAGGGCTGGGGGAGAGCGGATTCATCAGCACCCCTTTCATGAAGGGCTCGTGCCCCCAGGTAGAGCCTGCCCAGGGCTGGGGCGATGGCACAGCTGGCTCTGCTCCCACACAAGCTCCCTGACCCCCCACAAAGGCCCCAGGGGATCCCTTTGAACCGGGATTTCCACATCCCAACAAAGAGGCTCGGGAAGCAGTGGCCCCGGCGTCTCCTCGAGGTGCCAGAAGAGCAAGAGATGAGCAAAACTCCAGAGAGGAGAGGATGGAAAGCCACCAGCTTCTCCTTGGAGAAGGGCAGACAGCCTGTCTCTCCCTCGTGGGACATCTAACTGCACCTAAGCTGTGCCCCTTAAATAAGGTTACAGTCGGCCAACCTAGCAGGGAATGCGATATACAGCACAGGAAAGATCAATCCATACCCTCACTTCAGTCATTACCATGCCCTTCCTTTATGCTGTGATTTCCCTGCAAATTAATGAACTGATCCTTTTAAAAATCAAGTGATTTTTCTTGACCTTGAGTGGTAGCAACAATTCCCAGTGCTACCCTCCCTCTTCCACCTTCTCCCTGCCATGGGATCCATGCATCCATGCAGACTGGACTTGGACAAAAATTGGAGAGGAAGTGAATTTTTGGAGCTGATCCTGAACCAGGCCCCAGAATGGTCCAGCAGAACCCTCTCCCCAAGTGTAAAGAGCCAGACTTTTGGCCAGGGAAAAAGCTGGTGCCAGTTCAGTGAGCGCTGCTTGCCAACAACCAAATGCTGCCAGAGCTGGGATTCAGGCCCCTACACGTACCAGCTTCAACAAAAACACATTCCAAACTTTCTCGAGGCTTCAGGGGAAAAGGGAGGGGGAAAAAAAAAATGACACCCAGCAGAAGAAATAACAAAACAAACAAAAAAAAAATACCCTGAAAAACCCCAAACACTGCACGGAAATGGTGTTTCCTTTCCAGGTGGCTGAATAACTCATGGCTCTTTTGCAAGAGAGGATGAACTCTTTATGTTCAGCTTCCCGTGCTCCCCACCCTAGAGCAGAAGGCAGAGGGCAAACCAAAAGTGCTGCCACGCTCTTGGGAGCAGTTGTTTGCAAGGTGGCTGGGCTGGGCTGGCGGGTCTTCCCTCGCCCCGTTACACACTCAATAATTCATCAGGGCAAATGCACAGATAATTGATGGCAACGAGCACGCAGGGCCGGGAGAGGAGGGGAAAATAAAATCACTAATCAGCCTCTGGAGAGGGTTGAACACATTAAACTGGATGTGTGTGTGTGTGTGTGTGAGTGCAGGGCTGGGATTCGCCTCGGTTCTTCCCTGCTGAGCGATCTGTGTGTGGTTGGTGCAGCAGAGAAAAGGCTTGGGATGCATCCTGCTGTTGGCACGTCCCGTGCCAGATCTCCCAGTGCCCACCAATCCGTGCTGACACCTCCCAGGGGCAGCCAGCACACGAGGAAGGATTAGCTGGATGGGTTGCAGCTTGCCTGGGTTGCGTTTTTATTCATTAGGTTTTGTGGTGTTATTTTTTTTTTTGTCAAGGACCAAAAAGGCCCAGCTTGTGTGCCAAAGACATGTTGGTGCCAAGGCCTCATTAGTGGAGACCTCTGAGATCCTACTCCTCCACCTTGGCCTCTGAAGTGGTTTGTGTTGATGCCTTTCCCCACGATCCCAAACCCAGATATTCTACCAGGTCGTGCAAGGCCTCGGGGGCACCGTGCAGAGCTGGGGCTGCCCTGAGGCAGCGGGCTGGGAAGGAAGGTCTGGACTCCCTGGGTGTGAGGGGCAGTGGGGAAGGAGCAGACAAAGTGGCAGGTGGTGGCTCTTGACCCTGAAAACCCTTTCTCCCAAGAGCCCGGTCGGTGCTGTTACGTCGAGGCTCCCACACTTGCAGATCTGGTTCTTGCTCCCCCATATAGAAAGCTCTGGAAATGATCTCCAGGCACTTGTGAGCTCTGACACAACACTGAGCCTCCGTTCAATGCCTCTTTGTTAACAACCCTGTGAACTCCACGCTGCTTTGCACAACCCTGCCTCTGCTGAGCCTCTCACCAATTTCTCCCCCTCCTGTTCCCTGATACTCATCTCGCCCCCGGGGCATTGAAACAGCCCTTGGCAGGAGTGTGATGAGCCACCCTTTGGTGTGGCAATATCATGACTGATGCAAATGTCAGAGGGATCACTCCTGACAGTCTCTGCATCACTTAGAACCAAACTGAAGGGTCACAGCAGCCGGGTCTTACAGAAGGACAAATCGACGCATCGCTTTCAACCTGCAAAGACCCTGCAAAAATCACCTGAGCTCGAGACAGCACCTTGGCAATGGCCAATGATGTCCCACACGTGGCCCCACACGCCTCACAGACACTACAAACAGATGTCCAAGAACTTTCTATGAGGGGAAAAACAGGATGGAACAGGAGCTCAAAACTTCCCACTTGTTGGCACTTACAGATTTCTCCCCTGGTATTTCTGAGCTCACCTCTCAAGTCTTCCCCTATTTTTAAGTGGAAAACGAGGTCTGAAACGCCACACAAGCTGCCTCCAACAGCCACAGGTGCGTTACAGGCAGGGTGGGAAATGGGAGAGAAGCTCCTAAAAATCCCAGCGGGGGAATTTCAGGTGGCAAGAAGCAAAGGTGTGAGGTGGCGCCTGGCCAAGATGTTGGGGTTAGGTACCTTTTCTTCTTGCCAGGGAGGCTTTGTATCGATTGCCAGGCATATAAATCAGTGCTGTGCTGCTCTTCCAAGAGCACAGTGCCTGCCTCACCCTGTTTACTCCAATGGCTTGAAGCCCACTGCTGG